CTAACTGACTGATCTGTAAGAGTGGGCCAACTGATTGAGCTTTTGTATATATCTTTGCAAAATGCTAAACTTAAATTTTGTAAATGTCGGGGCAGCAGACATTATATATTGTTATTGTTATTGTTATTAAATAGGAGAAGACTGTAAAAGTACGTCTGTAAGGGGGGGGGAGGGGTGTAAGGGTCCTTCAATTACGCACCTGTGCTAATAGGTACTGGTAATCTGTATAAGCTTCCGTGTACACTAACACCCCTCACTCCCAGGACTAGTCGGGGGATCCTCAGGTAGATTTTACAAATGCTAATTGAGTGCAAATAAACTAAACACATTCCCGTACATTAACATTAGTGGCTATACAAATATTGAAACTAACATAGTACCAGCGGTCCACTTAGCATGTGTTGTATCGACTTGTCACTTACTTATAGGCTGAAAGATTAATATTAAGTCTACCACGCTTCTATAATTTCTGTAAATACATTGTCATTAGATATCATTTGGTCAGTTCAGGTGTATGTGAAGCATAATTCCTTGTTTGGGTAGAAAATTAACAATAGGTAGACATTTATGATTTTATGAGGAGGTTTATGGTTTATGAGACTAAATAATCTGAAAATCGGGGTGGGGGATGGGGGGGGGTCAAGCTGAGCGTCTCTCAAACGAGAGGACCCAATCTTTATGCTTCCTTCTTAAAAAGCACGATCGAACAATGGTCTTTGCTTGCTGTGCGATTACACCTCATTATTTTATCATTGAATGCAGGGTGATGTTAGTCATTACGTTTTTTGCTCACCCGAGATTTTGGACTGCTTTGTTTATAAATATAAAATATTTGTTACACGTGTAGGCACTCCCCTTTCCGTGTATTAGTAAGATAAACCTTCAGCCTAAGACTATTCACGAACGCAATAGCTGAGGTATTGAAAATAATCTCTCCATTTGTACTCGTGTCTGAATGAAATTGGTTTTGCTTTGATGGAAGCATCCGACAGTGTATGCTATCGAGCATATTCCAACTCACCGGGGAAAAATTCCGAATGTGATTAAGACAGTATGAAAGTGAACTAATTGGATGTAGATCTTTAATTCCCATAAAGGGTTGTCAGACCTGTTGGGTACTTAACCCTAGCAAACGCTGTTAATTGCCTTTAAACCTAGTATCGAGCAAAAGTTGAACATTGCATAATGCCAGCAAGAATTTACCAAGCCTGCTGGATATACATGTAAAGCTTCACATTCTATGGTTTATCATTCTTCGAGCCATGCTTCAAAACGTTTTGGCAAGCGTAACTTATGGTAGTGTTGGTTCGAGTTCAAGCTGATTTTTTTCTGTGGTTTATTCCACTATGGAATTACATGACTGTAGGCAGTGGGGGTTCGGGGGGTTCGAAAGAACCCCCCTTTTGCTGGGAAAAGGTCCCCTCTGGATAAAATTTTATCTAGGCACATGAAGGTTTCATGGTAAAAGGTCCACTTTTTTCAGAAAAAAGAACTCCTCTTTTGAAATTGCTGTCTACGGGCATGTATTAAATCGTTTTATTCCTCCCCCCTTTTTTGGAATGGGTGCTAAAATGTTATTAAAAGGACGTACACATGTCTTCTCTCCTTCCATTATTTTTACGATTTAAAAGTTACATGTATGGACATCTACATGACTTAGTTGCAAAAATAAAGCTTCTGTCCA